CTTACGGCCAAGCATGAGCCCTAGAAGTGGATTTGGGATCGATTAGGACCCTGCTCCCACAAAGCAAAAACTTTGCACGGAATTAATACTCCTGTGGATGTGTGAGGTACATTTAAAAGGCGCTTGATCTGACTACATGATAGACGGGCTTCAGCTATGAGTTTCATGCTTCAACGAATCATTTCCACGGTTCCTGTCATTTTGGTTTGAGTTAATACTGGTTTAAGAATAGATACTGCCATGCCTTTGGCATGTCCACATGACCTGGGCATTTCCTCTCCTCTTTTCCCTCCCTTCATTCCTGGGTTAGGCCGGGTTGATTAGAGAAACAAATCCAGGAACACTCGTATGTGTATAAGAAAATTACTTCTTTATGTCAAGAAGTAATTGTATATCAGGAAAACCTCCCAGCCCAGTCCAACTCCAGTCCATAAGTCTGACACTAGTCCATAAGTCCCTCTGGAAACTCATACAGCCACATGCAATGATGCTGAATGCAGGAAGATCACAGGCCGGTGGGTGCAAGGTCTTGTGGATCCAATGGTGGTAGAAGCATCACTGGACTCCGGCGGGTCTCAGCGTGACTCTCCAACAGGAAGGTGAGGGCAGAGCGTGGGGTGGCCATGGGGTGGGTGTTCCCAGAACCCTCCTTGTATGAAGGCCACGCCTACAAGGAAGCACCATCAGGCTGTGACCTGATTGACAAGCTAGACTCCACCCCTGCACTTTTATTTATCAAGTTGACATGAAATCATGTCACTACCACACTTCCTTCATTCCTTTTCTCTTCCAGGCGTACGTTGAAATGATCCGACTGAAAGATGATGAAATACTCAAGGTACAAACCAAAGAAGACGGAGATGTCTTTATGTGGTTGAAGCACGAAGCCACCCGCGGCAATGCGGCGGCTCAGGTGAGAAGGCACGCAGCTCGGCTGCCCAGGCCATCAGTCATCATAGACCAGGCATGCTGTTGTGGTAGAAGGCTGGGTTGGCTCAGTGGTAAAACTCTTACCTTCCCTGCAAAAGGCCAGGGTTCGATCCTAGCCAGTGCACTTGGTGCACAGCCAGCAGCTGTCTGTCACTGGAGGCTTCTGTGTTGCTTTAAAGCTGAACAGATGCTAAGAAGAAAGGGCTGGCGATGTTCTTCTGGAAATCAGCCGTACAAGAAACATAGATCACAGCCGCCGGAGCTGCCACTGATCTGGGGGAGGGGGCAAGGCAGGCAAGGCAGTGTCTGACTCCTTCACTCGGGGTCACTGTGGTCAGGGTCTAGTCCGTGGCAGCCAGCATGCAGTAACGCGCTCTCCAAAAACTCCCTGCCATGTCCTACTCAAGCCTGTAGGACAGCAGAGACCTGCCGCTGTGGGTGTCCAAGACCATGACCCTTTCCGGGAGTAGAAAGCCTCCTCTTTATCCCAAGGTGCTTTTGAACCGCTAACTTTGTGGTTAGTAGCCCATGGCCTTGAAGCAACCCTAGTTGATTTCTTGCTCACCCTGCACCTCCGATGTGGCCTGGCATGGCCTCACAGGCCAGTTCTCCAAGCCTCTGCCCAGAAGTGGCACAAAGACCTCTCCCCTGGTCTTGGCCAAAGCCAGCCACAAGAGGTCATTGGCTTTGATTTTCCACATTGAAGGTTTGTGGAGACGCTGCATCCAGCAAGAGTATCAACGCCCTCTTTCCAAAGACGTGCTCGCTTCCTGTTCCTACGTCACCGGGAGGCCGTTCTCACAGGATTTCAGGATTTCTCAGAATGCCATCACGTGCTCTCACCGTGACCCGCCTGTCAGCTTGTCCTGTGGTGGCGCCTCGATGCTGGAAGCTCAGCCACTGGTAGCTCAAATGCCAGCACAGGTGTTGCCAGAGCTTCCCAAATAAGAACGGACTCAAAGCCAAAACCAAACCCATTGCCAGGGAGTTGATTCCCACTTGCAGTGACCCTACCCAGTGTTCTGAGCACGGAAATCTTACCGGGAGCAAGTGGTCCCTTCTCCCGCACAGCAGTTGGTGGGTTTGAAGCGCTGACTTGGTGGTTAGCAGTCCAGTGCTTTCTCAACTCTGCACCACTGGAGAGCTTTACGAACCAGAGTAGGAACAAGAAATAGGCTGTGTGCTTCTGAGGGACTATCCACTGATAAGGATGCTCCCAAGAGGAAGGCAGCCCCAGAATTGGAAGAGGGCTTATTAACAACTTACGAGATGCAGGTGGCACAGCCTTGTTTGCTGAAAGCGAGGAGGAGTTGAAGCCTTTGCTCATGGAGGTCAAAGACTGCAGCCTTCACAAGGGACTGAAGCTCAATGAAAAGAAGAAGACCCAAACCCTCAGAACTGGACAAATTCACAGCATCATGCTGAACGGTGAAAATTAAAGTTGTTATGGATTCCATCTGACACGGATTCACAGTCAACATTCGCAGAAGTAGCAGTCAGGAAATCAAACGATGCATTGCATGGGACACATCTGCAGCGCAAGACTTCTTTAAAGCGTTGAAGACCAAAGATGTTTTGAAGACTAAGATGCACCAAACCATGGTATGCTGAATCATCGTAGGCATGTAAAACCTGGACAATGGATTGAGAAAACCAAAGAAGATTCGATGCGTTTGACATCTGGTGCTGGTGAAGAATACTGAAAGTCCATGGAATGCCGAAGAACAAGCAAGTCTTTCTCGAAAGACGTCGACAGCCAGAATGCTCCTTGGAAGTGAGGAGGACGAGGCTTGG